ATTAAAAATTCCATTTTGAGATTTTATAAATAATTAATGAAGAATAAAAAATGACAATCAATAAGCATTAGGAAAAGATGTATAAAATAATTTTTGCTTTTCATGTGCCAACAAATTTGACAGTTAATTTTACATTAATTTTTAATTACTTTCATGGTAAAAACTATTTTTTTCAATTATTAAATTGTATGCTTTTCACTTAATTACTTAATTATTAATATCACTTATTTATTATTTTGTATATATATATATATATAATTTCCGCAATATTTTGTATTTACATTTTTTCCTTAATTTTGGTTTAAAAGATTTTTAATAGGGTGCAATTTGTATATTTTATAGTTATCATTAATACATATTTATTTATATAATTGCATTTATTAAATTTATTTGCACAATAATTCAATAATGAATGATATTATAAATTATTAATATAATATTGAAATTAATATTACTTTTAAAGACAAAATAAAATTATAAAAAATACTTTTGATCAAACGCAATAAAAGATACAAATAAAGAACAGGCAAAGAACAGGCAAAATAAAAAAAGTTACTTTATGATTTCTCAAAACTGAAAAAAAATTCCAATTTAGCATCAAAAATAATGGCTTTGTAAGGAAAAAAAAATCAAATACTTAAAAGCACATTTAAAAATGTGAATTAATTCTAATTAAAATTGGAATATAATTTCTATTTTAATATTAAGAAAAGTAATTTACAAATTATTTTAATTAGATTTTACCTGGGTCTTGATGCCCAAGTGACTAGCGCTCTGGCGCTCGGTGCAGGGGTTCGAGTCTGGGCAGTGCTATGGATGTTTGCAATGGTTCAGAATCCACTTTAAACCGTAGATCGGTCTAATATGACGACTACTATTACTACACCACACCACATCACTATGCCTAGAGCTAAGTTGCCCCTTTTACAGTTTGGGAATGATGTGGGTGAGAAGTCTGATTGGTCTCCATGGCACTCTACAGTCATATGATACCGGGACCTACGGCTTAAAGTGGATTCTAATCACTACAAACACATCCATGGCACCGCCGGGATTCGAACCTGAAACCTGAGGCACCGAACGCCAGAGAGCTAGTCACTCTTCCATAAGGCTACAATGGTCTAATATGACTGTAGAGCATTGGGCATAGGCCTGACAACCCTATTCCGTAAAAAGAAAACATCTCCGAAAATCAATAGGCAGACTACTTTGTCCCACCATAGGGCTGTTGACCCAATTAAGAAGAAGTTTTGGTTTGTCGCTCTACGGTCATTTTTTCATACTGTAGGCTAATTAGACAGTGACTTACAGTTTAACGTGGATCCCGAACCCCTAACAAATATCCATGCCACCGCCAGGATTCGAACCTGGAACCTATAGCACGAAAGGCCAGAGAGCTAACCAATTGGCCATTAAGCTGCTATGAAGACGAAGACTTTACGTAAGTATGTACCCGTCAATATTTAAAAATAAAATGAATTTAATCTTCTTTAAGTGGTAAAACAAAAAATGACATTGTATTTTATAAAGCATAGAAATATAAATAAAAAAAACTTCTAATGGGCTTTTATAGATATTGAATGCCTTGAGAGAATCTTAATGTGTTCACATTCCTTATCTGAGGAGAACGAATGAAAAAGTATTGTGCTGCAATCGTGTTGTTACGGTCAATACGCTGCGATTCGAGAAGTCTCAAATTGTTCTTGATGTGACGCGACCTTGTTGGATGGGTGCCAGCAGAGCTTTTTACGATTTCGTTTTCGCGTGCAGCTATATTTCAGAATCAAATTTGAGTGCCACTCTCTTTTCAAGGGCTCCCCGATAATGAAGTGGAAGCGGGGACTTTTTCAAGATGGACTGACACGTTATCGTGAAACTCGTAAAAAATATATTTTTGAGTGACTGTTCCACGAATGCAATGCATAAAAATCAGATTTCAAACTCTAAGGTTTGTTATAAATTATGTTTCATTTCTATAATTGTGCATTAATGGTTCTGTATAATAAAAATAATAAGTGAACAAATTATATATTGGCAACAAATGAATGTATTTTATTATTTTCGACTGTTGCATTATTCGAAACTATTGAAACACCAGAATTTTGTCTGGAAGGTAGGATGGTGGTTCAACAAAATATATGAAGTGTACACATTTGAAAAAGCCTAACAGATCCTACTAAACTATAGGTAAACATCTAAAGTCGAGATGCATTGCATAGAATTGCATTATTATTAATGTTGCATTATTCAAAACCACTGAAGCACCCATAGTTCTGTCTTGGGAGGGTAGTGGTGGCTTAACAAAAATACATAAAGTGTTTGAGACGGTTTGAGAAAGCTGTCTCAACACTTACAAAAGTATTGAGACAGTGTTGAGACAACTTTATCAAACCAATTTTATAAATTTTTTGTACTTTATTTGTACACTTTATGTTTGGCACGTTTGAGCCAGATCACTAGGTCCTTTTAAATTATAAGCAATAGGAAATATATCTAAAGTCGAAATATATTGCATTAGTCGAAATTGCTCAAGCACACAGAGTTTTGACTTGGGAGGGTGGTGGTTGGCTCAACAAAATACGTAAAGTGTACACGTTTAAGAAAGCCCAATTGGCTCTATTAAACTATAAGCAATAGGAAATGCATCAAAAGTCGAGATACATTGCATCGAATTGCAATATACGAAACTACTGAAGCACCCATGATTTTATCTTGGAGAGGGGATGGCTGAACTAAATTTGTAACGTGTACATGTTTGAGAAAGGTTAATAGGTTCTGCTTAACTATAAGTAATGGGAAATGTATATAAAGTCGAGATGCATTGCATCGAATTACATTATTATTACTGTTGCATCATTGAAACTACTCAAGCATCCAGAGCTTTGTCTTGGTAGGGTGATGGTGGCTCAACAAAATACGTAAAGTGTACACATTTGAGAAAGCCCAATTGGCTCTATTAAACTATAAGCAATAGGAAATGCATCAAAAGTCGAGATACATTGCATGGAATTGCAATATACGAAACTACTGAAGCACCCATGATTTTATCTTGGAGAGGGATGGCTGAACTAAATTTGTAACGTGTACATGTTTGAGAAAGGTTAATAGGTTCTGCTTAACTATAAGTAATGGGAAATGTATATAAAGTCGAGATGCATTGCATCGAATTACATTATTATTACTGTTGCATCATTCGAAACTACTCAAGCATCCAGAGCTTTGTCTTGGTAGGGTGATGGTGGCTCAACAAAATACGTAAAGTGTACACATTTGAGAAAGCTCAATAGGTCTTATTAAACTTATAAGCAATAGGAAATATATCTACATGCATTGAATCGAATATCGAGATACGTAGCATCGAATTGCATTATTCGAAACTGCTCAAGCACCCAGAGTTTTGGCTTGGGAGGATGGTTCAACAAATACGTAAAGTGTATACACGTTTGAGAAAGCTCAAAATTATTATCATATATTAAACTATAAGCAATAGGAAATGCATCTAAATTCGAGATGCATTGCATCGGGTGCGTTATTTGAAACTACTGAAGCGCCAAGGATTTTTATCTTGGGGGTGGAAGTGGCTGAACTAAAAGTGTACATGTTTGAGAAAGCTAAATAAGTCCTGTTAAACTATAAGTATTAAGAAATATATAAGTCGAGATACACTAGATATAGAGATGCATTGTTATTACTGTTGCATTATTCGAGACTACTCAAGCACCTAGGAATTTATCATGGGGGAACTCAACAAAATATGTTCAGTGTAAATGGTTGGGTAAACTCTATAAGTCCTTCTAAACTATAAATAATGGGAAATGTATGTAAAGTCGAGTTTCCAGTTTTCATTTTTATTTTATTAATAATTTTTGCATTGCACAAATCTCGTTCAAATACATGAAAAGCAAAACATTAAAACCATGAAGTACTGCGGAAAAGTTTAATTTCTAAAAAGAGGTTATGTAAAATTTAAATTAAAGTTAAATCTTGTTTCTTTTTCAGCTCATCGATTACATTGTTGATGCCAAACTTCAATATTTCAATGAATATTGAATAAAGCTAAATCGTTTCGACGTTCTTGCCTTACTGTGCTTCTCAAACAGGTTTACAGTCTTTGCAATGTTGAAAAGATCTTTTATTTACGCAAGATGTCATTGGTAGAGTGGCAAACATTTTTAATAAGAAACATATATTCGGATACATATTTCTATTGCATTGCCCCATGAGTTTTTACAGTTTTTGAAAATTCATGGAACCACAGTTTTAACTCACTTTCTAAAATGGATGTGTTAATTCAAATTCATAGACATATATAAAATCATGTAACTTTGTTTCTGTCAAATTTATAAGAAAATATCAAATTTTAGTAATATAGTTTTGTGTTTAGCAAATAATCACAAAAAGTTTTCAGTAGCACATGTGTACGAATTATAAATGGCGATTATTAAAAGCGAGACTTAACTAATAATTATTAAACAAGCAATCAATTAAAAAGTAAATAATAATACATAGATTTAACTTACAAAAAATATTACTTACTTTGATGATGACAATACATCAGAAAATTTCATAATGAAATAACGAAAAATTTTCTATATAACAACGAAAATTTTTACACAAAAAAGAGCACTTCATGCAGCATAATTGAAGTAAGAAATAGTCATGTAGAAAAAAATATGTCCTGCCGCACAAAAAACCGTCACCATAAAAAACAAGCACCAGATAAACAGGCCAAGTTGAATTAACTATTACCAATTGGCAATCGCCAATTTGGCACTAAAACAGGGATTTGGCGATTCGCTTACATGCATGGGCTCGGGCACTTTAGTACCAAAGGCTCCTTCCCTTCCCTGGGTACGCACATTGTCTAAACTAATTAAAAATTGTAAAATTTATGAATATTGCAGTAAATTTAAATAAAAATACCAGTTAATTTCCATTTTTATTATGCAATATTGCATTTATATAACTCAAACATACTTTATCTGTATACCATGCTACGTCAGCTATACCATGCTGAATATACCGGTTCTCGTTAGATCACTGAAGTCAAGCATCATCGCGGTCAGTACTTGGGTGGGTGACCACCTGGGAACACCGCGTGCGGTTGGCATTCACAAATTTGGGACTTGAATGGCAGAGTATCCAGCGCTCAGTGCCCACAGGTTTCGGATTCGAATCCCGGCGGTGCCATGGATGTTTGTAGTGGTTCGAAATCCACTTTAAGCCGTAGGTCCCGGTCTCCTATGACTGTAAGAGCGTCACGGAGCCAAAGTCAGATTTCTACCTACGGTTGCTCCATCACAACAGAAGCTGCTTCCTTCCCCTTCAATCATGAGTACGCATGGGCTGGTGGGCTTGGCCAGCCAAGTGGGATAAGAATCAACAACAAACAACACCATCTGTGAAATATAGACCAAAGATATTAAAAAGAAGGTGCTAAAATTTTGCTACGTGAATGGACTAAATGCATGTAAATTTAGATAGCTGTTTTATACATTCACAATCACCTGCTATTTTATTGACATAAGATTAATACTATTTTCAGCTGTCAAAAGGAGCAAATGCTATTTTATAAATTAATAGAAGACAAAAATGAAAAAAATAATAACTTATTTACATTTTATTTTTATTTAATCTTTAAAAGTATAAGAGAATTTCTCTGTGGACGAATTGATCGATTGCTCTTAAAATTTCAGAAGATATTAAAATGCATGTTCGAGGTTGTTTATTCAAAAAGGATAGCATCAAGTACTTGTACTAAAGCATGCAAAATTGCATAGTACATATTAAGTTCCCATGGTAAATATCAAACAATATAGTGCATTTGTATGTATTTTTTTCATTCTCATATAACTAGAATTTTTATACACCAGAAAACTTTCAAGTAAATTATTCAGTGATAACCTGGAATGCTTTAACTTTAATATTCTTAGAAACTTGATGGTTATAAATGTAATTCTTGAAACGCCAAGTAGCATTTCAATATTCTTAGGTTATAAATATCAATATTCTTGATGGTTATAAATGATAATTTTGAAACGAAGTAGAATTTTGTATATTCTTAGAAATTTGATGGTTATAAATGTTAATTTTGCAACTCCATGTAGCATAAGTTAAATCTACAACCAAAAGTTTAGGTCTGTCATCTATAAACAATCATACATAAAACTAACTAATCATTCCCCCTATGAATTTATGCAAACCAAAATTAAATAGAAATAAAAATCTTTTCTTTCTTTTTCAAATATAGAAGTAAATTGAAATGGTGTTTTTTTTTTTAATACAAAGAAAAAATTGATAGAATAAAAATTACTTTACTTTCAGGTCGATATCAATAAAGGCTAAAAAATTATTTAAAAAATAATGAAGAATAGTGATGGTTCATTTCCATCCATTATCATTTTACTTTTAAAAGATCAATATCTATCGACAAAATAATTATTCCTTTTTCAGATCACAATAAAGTAATGTAGGGATGTAAATTTAGATAGTTGTTTTACTACATTTACAATCATTTGCTATTTTACTGACATATTAACAACTGTTTTCAACTATCAAAAGAGGCAAATGTTATTTTATAAGTTAATAGAAGTAAAAAAATAAATAAATAAATAAATAATAACAGATTTATATTTTATTTTCATTTAATCTTAAAAGTATAACAGAATTTCTCTGTGAACGAATTCCTCAATGGCTGTTAAAGTATTCAGAAGGTATTAAAATCTATTTTCGTTATACAAAAAGAATACATCAGTATTTATATTAAAGCATGCAAAATCGCAATGATCAAAGAAAATGTTCCGGTAAATTTTAAGCAATAAAGTGCATTTGCATGTACGTTTTTATCATTCTTATATAACTACAATTTTTATACGACAGAATACTTTCAAATAAATAATTCATGGATAAGGGGAAGGTTTAAACTTCAATATTCCTTGAAATTTGATGGTTATAAATGTAAATTTTGCAACGCCAAGTAGCATAAGCTAAGTCTGAAAGCAAAGATTTAGATCTATCATCTGCTAACCATCATGCATAAAATTAACTAATGATTTAACTATGGATTTATGCAAACCAAAATTAAATAGAAATAAAAAATCTTTCTTCTTTTAAGTATAGAAATAAATTGAAATGATTTTTTTAAATACAAAAGAAAAGTAACAAGATAAAAATTGCTTTAGTTTAAGATCGATATCAATAAAGCTAAAAAAATTATATTAAAAATAATAGTGATGGTCCATTTCCATCCATTATCTTATGGCTTTTTAAAAGATCAATATCTGCTGACAAAATAATTATTCCTTGCTCATATCACATTAACGTATTCAGTTAAAATTCTAATTTTTAATGTATATTAAAAACTAAAAGGCACTTATAACTTTTAAAAAAGATTTGGATAATTATTTCAGAGGATAAAATATTTACTGTTGATGCATTTAAGTAAATTACATATATGAGATTTCTTGGGGTTTTATATTTGCGGATTATTATCATTATAATTAATTTTCAGGTTTAATAATAAAAATAAATTTTTACAGGACATTATCGGTATTGAAAATCTATAATCGGCTAAATATTTTTATTTCATTCATTTAAATGAAATTAATTAAACGGAAGATGTTTCATACAAAATTTTAAATTCTTGTATGAAATCATTGGTGAACTGAAAATCACTTTAAGATTATTAAAATATTTCAGTTGTCGTATGAATCTTTAAGTGTTTACAAAATAAACAACCATTATAGGACAATATTTTTAAATCAATTTTTTTTAAGTCCATTTAGTCTCCATCAGAATAATTTCAGTTATAATTAATTAAAGAAATTGTATAAAAATAACAAATAATTCACTTTAATTATCATTTTTTTACATGCTTCGAAACTAATTTTGATTTGGTCTAAAATTTTCTCGTGCAAGTTTAAAAAATTACATCAACAATTAATAGAAATAGAAACCAATTCTTTAATAGTGATATGAATATCTAAATGTTTACAAAATAAACAATCATTAAAATTAAATCAATATTTAAGTCCATTTAATCATCAGAATCGTTTCTGTTTTAAATTAAAGAAATTTTATAAAAATAACAAATAATTCACTTTAATTAGCATTTTTTTTTGACAATCTTCAACACTAATTTTGATTAAACTAAAATTTTCTCGTGCAAATTTAAGAAATTGAATCAACAATTAATATAAATGGAATTCTGTAATAGTGATATGAATATCTAAATGTTTGCAAAATATACAATCATTAAATGACAACTAAACCAATTTTTAAATCCATTTAGTCTTCATCAGAATCGTTTCTGTTCTACATTAAAGAAATTTTATAAAAATAACAAATAATTCAGTTTAATTAACATTTTTTTTGACAATCTTCAAAACTAATTTTGATTAGACTGAAATTTTCAATTACCAAATTTTAAAAATTGAATCAATAATTAATAGACATAGAATCCAATTCTTTAACAGAAAATAGATTGAATTATTACATCAATCTAAATAAGAGTAAAAAGGAAGAAAAATATTACTAAAAATTAATTTTTAAAACTATATATCATTAATTTATATACAGCATTATTTTTTAACTAATACTTCATTGAACTTTCTGACGAAAAGTAAATAAGACAGAAGAAAGAACCGATAATTCAGGTCCTTAACGCCTTGAGAATTTCGAAACATATCCATTAGAACAAAACTTAGTGAATTATTGGGGTTTTTTCTTCTCCTCTGTCAAAATGTATCTGAGTTGAAAACTTTTTCTACGAAAAAAGATGACAGTGATTGGGTTAGATTTTCGACGTCTCCATAAATCTTTTAATCCTTCCTATCACCTTTTTAGTCCTTTTTTTTTTTACGGTCAAAAAAAAAAAAATCAGTCTTAAATAAAAAGCAACAATAGAATTATTTTCAAAAATCCTTTACTCCATACATCTGTCTTTTAAATTAATATATATATATATATATATATATATAAATTATTGATTCAAAAGTATGGCACGCGCAAACTTTATTTTCCAAAAATACTTCCGTGCTAAGTAAATGTGGAAAATTGTTAATAAAAGTTATGAATTTCTCTTAGCAAACAGGTAAATTTTGTTGTTTCTTATCCCACTTGATCGACAGCAACATCTAGACTAAGTCCATGACCACAGGGGTTCATAGACTTGGTTTAAATGGTCTAAAGGGTAAAAAATGCAGCTCCTTCTTGTCCTTGTGGTACCAAGACATGGGGCCCCCAAAGGGAGAAAAGTCTGACATTACCCCACCCGGCTTTACCCCGAGAACTAGGTACTCATTTGGTCGTCTTTGCAACCTGCATGGGCTACAATGGGGCCATTCTAACCTGGACCCACACGGAACTAGCTCTGATTTAAATATAATAATAATAAAAATAATAAACAAATTATCCCTCCTTATAAACCTGAAAAAAAACACACATTTAACATAAAACAACACATAAAACATAAAAACAAACATAAAATAAAACAACAATGGAATTATCCTCCAAAAATACTTACTACCTATATCTACCTTTTAAATAATATATATATATATATATATATATATATATATATATATATATATGTGTGTGTGTATGTGTTTTGCAAAATTAAGCAAAATAAATGTTAAGTAAATGTGGCAAAATTGTTAACAAAAATTGTTAATTTCTCTTATCAAATAGCTCATTTTTATTGTTTTTATCCCACTTGGTCGACAGCAAAATCTAGACAAAGTCCATGAACCGTGCTGTCATGTTAAAGGGTAAAAAATGCAGCTTCTTTTGCCCTTGACCTTGTGGCACAACGACATGGGCACCAAAGGGAGAAGTCTGATTTTACCGTACCCTGTTATACCCCCGGTTACTGGGCACCCATTTTAGTCGTCTTTTACGACGGGCATGGTCTACAGCAGGGGTCGGCAACCTTTTGAGTCGGAAGAGTCAAAAATTACAATTTACAAAATTTCAAAGTTTTTAAAGAGCCACAAAATTTTTCTTGCCAACAATAAATAGTACTCGCATAAATAAAGTTTTTCATTAAAAAAAAAAAAAAAACTAATCTATTTATTCATAAGAAAAATATCTATTTATTCATATATAA